CAACAACATGCAACAGGGTGTAGAAACAGACTCAACATGTAACATCCAACAATGTTGGGAGTTGTTGGCCGACAATGTTGCATCCGTTTGCACGGGGCTTAAAAGAATTAGTTTAGAGATGACCCAACCCCTGGATATAATGTGCATGCAGTTCTTAGGAGGGCTTAGAAAACCATACAGTAAGTTACGTGCTATTTTTTTCTGGCCTGGTTGACTGAATAATTCTCATTCAGTATGGTTTGAAAGATCTTTTCCTCCTGCACTAGTTAGGTATCAAAGTAGTCTATAGCCACTGATGACAACACAAGCAGAACAAGGGACAGGGATAGACATGGGAGGTTGATTTGGAATGGTTCAGAAGTTCAACATACCTTCAGGGGCCGCTGGATTCCATCAAAAATACTTCCCAAAATTCCTGTTAAATTTTTTTATCAGCAACAATATTAAAAACAACATTGAAAAATGAGCCTCTTAAATCTAACACAAATGACCATGCAGGGTGTTCATTAAGTATCAGAGATCGGAGAATTCAGACTCCCTTTACTAAGCTAAATTCTCCGGCTAACGTTTGGTAGCATATGACTTCTTTTTATCCGACGAGGAGCCCTTTTCAAAATATTCTTGTGTAATGTTACACCTTTCTCCTGCTACTAGAATTCTAAATGAAAACCCTGCCATGTCTCATGAGCAACTGCAACCACTATTTAAGGTCATGGTTTTAATGAGGCCCCATCAGGGTAAAATTCCAACAAGCAACATGGGCTTAAAACGGTGACATAAGACAGATGAAATGGCGACAATCGACATGAAGATGGGTTGAAAATCCAACAGTAACAAGAACAATCTCAAATGCTATACCTTAATTCAGCAACATTGCCTCCTTCTAAATATGCAAAATGACCTGAGCTATAAAATTCAGACCAGGTACATAACCCCCCTAGAAGGACTCTTTTATAAATTTTCCATCATTTTTAACCACCGGTAACTTGTCACATGATCTCATCTCTATGTTTGCTGCATATGGTACCACACTGGTATTTGGGTCCCAAATACGAGATTACCCCAGGGGTAAATTAATCTGAAGATCTGTTAGAGGTGAACTTCACATTACAATTACTTTGAAATCATTGCATGCAATAATGTTCTCTTTAGAAATGTAGAGGGTCTGGACCTCTTTTTGAAAGAAGCCTCCTGTGGTTTGATTCACATAATATACCACTTCTCACAAGCGACTTCCATTTTGGGTGGTTGCTTCAGGAAGGTTTGACTGTATATCATAGCCTTTTTATGCCATTAGCAAAACACATATTGCTTCAATAATACGCAGAAGCAGTTTTGAAGATCTTCTAACCCACCAGCAACACCATGGGCAGTAATGATTTCTGTTAATACTGTAATTATTTACTTACTTACTTAATTATTTCTTCTTTACTTCACAAAAACAACAAAATAAATAAAATATATATTTACTGCAGTTACAGTGTACTCCTGTTTTCTATGGGCAAACAGCATAACTAAACTGTTACATTACCTGGTCCGAGTTCAACTGACAGAGGTTTTCCAGTTCTTAGCACAGGATCACCAACAGTTACACCAGCTGTAAAGATGCTTGTTAAGGAATATTAAATAATAAAAACTATAGCTGATCATGGTGAGATGTCATCCCAAAGTAAACAGGGACTGTTAAACACATTTATTATACATTGTAGTCACCATCTGTCTTCTCATTGGCTAAAAGCCTACAGTTAATTCTGGGAAACAGCGCAACCTACAGATTATTCACTAATCTGTACCTACAGATTAGTGAATAATCTGTAGGTTGCACGTGCAATACATGATTTCCAAGAGCAATGTCAAGCGCACGGACAGCAATGTCAAGTTCGCGGACAGCGAAGTAAGAATGGCTTCTCGATTCGCTTCATCAACCCAGCAAGAAATTGAGAAATTACTTGAAGATAAAGTATAATAAACCAATTATTAGATTCGGTTTTTGTGATATCCGGAATAATCAAGGTCGAGGTAAGTGTTATCAGCCAAAGCCGTAGGCTGAGGCTGATAACACTAGCCGAGACCTTGATTATTCCGGGTATCACAAAAACCTCATCCAATAATTGTTTATAACCGTAACACTCGGATAAAAACTACAACTTGAAATCTGGCTTGACCGTTGGACAAAGTAATAACTTCAAATGAACTGTCAGTGTTATCAATTACTGCCATTAATAATTTACACCTTTAAAGAGAATAAAACCAACTTTCATTATGATAAGGGTTTTAGAGGCACCTCAATCATCTTAAGATATTTAGGAAAAAAAGCTTGGAAAATGGTGATGTTGTAATTTTAAAAAGCGCATATTGGATACAAGTTTCTTCGTAAACCTGAATTGTTGCCATGTCTCCCTCCAGGCGAATAATCTCTCCGACCAATTCACTGTGTCCAACACGGACCTGATTTAGATAAAATACATGTAAGAAATAATCAATAATTTTTAAACCTGTAGACTAGTGCAGGCATTGGAATGTTTGAGTTTTTTTAACAATGATAATGAATCTGTAGGCAGAATAGACCACAGGAAAATGATGTAACAATAATCAATACAAATATAAAATTAAAGCAAGCAAGGGCTAAGTGCTAAATTTTTTAAGCAAAAGAGACTGTGCTACAGAAAACACTTACCCAGTTTGGTCAATTATCATTTTTATTATTGAAATAATATTTGATCAATCAGACAAAAATGTACTCGAATTCAGGGTAAAAAAAGTACTTCTAAGTCACAACACTTTTAGGCAAAAATGTTCACGCAAACTGGTCTGAATCAGGCAAAAATGCCTGTTTCACAGGGGTGAAAACAATTTATCCATGGCTAATTGCCAGTGTTACTTCTGAGATATCCGCATACATCTACCTAAAAAATATGCGCATCTCTCGGTTGATCATAACCAAGTGTGCATATCTGTGCCGTCACTCTTACACTACTGAGCAACAACTAAGAGACTTGAAAAAGAAAAAGGAAAATATCTAGCACTGGGCTTCAGCTTTCCATCATGATCAGCTAATAATGAAAAACAAAGCAGAGCTCTGTAGAAGCACCCTGAAAAGAAATATTAGTCGTCAGGTTATGTAATAACCATAATACCATGGGCAAGTTTGTACTCCTTTCAGTTACTCCAGAATGAATGTGGCTGTAGAAGTTTAAAAGAGTGGAAAATAAATATAGTAAGGGGTATATTGCTACAAGTGATTACACTTGGATGTGCTTTGTAAATCACAACAATGATTCTCATGCCTTAGAAATCAAAATAATATAGAATTTTTGTGCGTACTGCTGGCTTTCTCTGATAATTGACCAGACAATTTATAATAGTTATAAGGGGAGGAAGTGGAGATTAAGTTTTATACGTAGTCACACACTTGGTCAGTTGAGTTCAACGACAAAGAGTGGCATAATCTTCCATGTGAATAAAAATGGCCGGAGAAGCTTGAAAAACTTTAAATATAAAACGTCACAGCTGGCAGAAGAGGAAAGTTTATTTAATATACTTCAACGAACTCTGACATATCCTTAAGGAAGATCTTTTGAGCTCTAGATTCTTCACACTCACCAACTCGTACATAGCAGCACCGCTCATATTTTCTGCCGTCACGACTACAAAGGAAAATGACAGATCAATATAAGACTGATGTACTTAACGTACAGCAAAGAAACAGCTGAGGAATTGCTATGCATTTTAAATGATGCATGTTCGATAGCTGTGATCTGATCTGTACTCACCGGGTCCTGACACGGCGAAAACATAACCAAATTCTCTTTCTTTTTCTTGATCTTTTATTTTTGGTAACTTATTTGCGGCGTCCATCCCTCCAGCCTGTGAAAAACAATTTTGCTTTTCAGAATCACAACTTTCACTATTTTTTTATGAATAAAATATACAAGGCACTGGACTACACAGGTTCACCCACCATCTTGGAAATGATTTAATAAAAGTCACGTGGGTGTCGCGCGATAGAAAACAAGCCGCTAGTGCCCAGACCTTTCCATTTCTCCTTCGAAAACAAACATGGCGGAACTTATGCTAAAAGTTTGGCTCACTGCTTTTATCGTTAATTTTGCACATTGGGAAATAACTTTAGTGAAAGGAAACACAGTAACGTCAGCCGTTCAATTTACAACCTCAAGTTCTCAGTCTGTGGAAATTCTATCCTCAATAACACCCACGAAAACAACGGGGAACAATTCTACAGTACAAACCAACTTGCCGGATTTGGAATGTCCAGACAGTGTTCCCTGTAGCCATCTTGGTGGTTCCTGTATTCAGTGTGATTTCAACTATTCGTGTATTTACGGAGAGGAGGTCAAAGCAGAGTGTAAACCTATTAGCTCGACCATCAAATGCACGGTATTAAATCTTTAACATATTTAATAACGTTTAATATATACGCCAACGTCGAACTCGTCGTAATTAAATACCATAGGTGTTAATTAAATTAAGCTTGTCGTCAAAGTGTTCGCCTAATTTTAGAACCCCATATTGCGATGAAAAATTTAGTGAAACATTTTTCATTCATTTTTCTGTGCTGTAGGGACCTCAAATCTTCAATAAAACGTTTAACTGTAGATACTGTTATCAGTCACATCCCAAGAACTATATTTGCCAGAAACAGTCAGGATGCCAGGTAAGAAGTCAGAAATACTTTTAATTGTTTTGTAGTACAACTTCATCAAATTTGGCGTGATTTATGTGAGAGATGAACAACCTGTGTAGATGAAAGTCTATCCTTTAATTCTTCGTTTTCACATGACGTCATCAAAATTCAAGCTAAGAAACTATTGCTTCTTCTGAGTTTCTACTTTCATGTGATATTAGAGCACCTTAAAACCTTAATACAAACAAATTTTCGGTTCAAAAGGGTTCTTTGTTTTCCGATACAGGACGCTCGAATTTCCAGGCTTTTGCGTTACGCGTCATTTAGCTAGCAGCCGGGAAAGCTCTTATGTGGGTTAAAAACATTACGGATTTTTGGAGCTTTTGCCATCTATACATTCCTTATCTTAGAATAAATATTACTTTAATCTTTATGAGTTCCTCAAGCGAATAATTCACGCATAAATAGGAAAGCTCAAAAACAGATGTTTCTGTTGGTTTCCGGCAGCCATATTTGTGCCCCTGAAAGGGACACAAACATGACGTCTCCATACAAAGCTTTATAAATTTGGGTAAAACGTTTTTCCGAATACCTCGCATATGAACTATTGCATAGACCAGATTCTTGGCAAGGCTTTTTGTATATTTATCTTTTTTCATTTGCCAGATTCTAGACTTTCTGCTTTCTCACGTAAGTGAAAACTGAGAATATATCAAAGAGATCAATAAATCAATATACTGTAGCTGTGTAGAAGAAAGGCAAACAGACAGATTACCTGTCCAGCACATCTTTCAGGATTAACTAAGGAGAGAGTTTGTCCAAATGAACAATCTGCCTGTTTCCTTGTGTTTATACACAAATAAATGGCAATATAAAGGAGGTTGAAAGGTCACCTTGAGCTGATTTATTCAACTTTTAAGATGTATTTCAAGACAAACCAAAGTGCTTGCTTAAGTTTGTCCATATGGATCATCTTTTGCTTTTAAAAAAAGCCATGGGCCAATACTGATAGCTTCACTGTTTGAATTGCTTAACAACGTTGTTAAGCATGTTCGGAATTCTCTTCTTCTCTTCTCTCCAATTTCAACCATAGTTAGTAGAGAAGACTAGTTAGGAAACCCGGCAAACATCAAAGTTGAAAGCAATGGTGTTGTAGGTTATGTTGGAAGCTCCCTGACCGTGAACAATCCTCTGTTTTCTGTTCACAAATTATGACTGAATTACTTAATGCAATGTTTCTATTTGTCAGTAACTTCAAAATGATAGGAATGCTTATTTATTACTTGGATTTTTATTTCAGTTGTATATTGGTACGTGTGCGCGCGCAATTCAATTTTGGGCGCATGCATTATTTATTTATTTAAGTTGCGTGTACATTTAGTTCATTTAATAACGTCTTAGTTTTGCTTTGCATTATTTTCCTCACTTATATGTGTTGTCCACGACTGTGCTCACACGGTGGGTGGCTCCTCCTAAAATGTTCTGCAATAAATTTATTGGTATAGGATTTAATGGAGCCGAAACCAGTTGTGGAATTGCACGCATTTTAGGCATCCTACTGATGAACAGTTAGGACACATAGATATATTTTTTAGCAACTACTATAATTTGCAGTCTGTCTACTTTGAATTGAACTGAAGGTTGTGCACGGTCAGGTCCAAAAGAGCTAACAAAAACCTGTAACAAAGGGTTTCCCAACCTTTCCACTTTAATTAACTATGTTTCAACTAAACCTAGTTTAACAGTGTGAGGAATTTTTTAGCTGACACAGGGCTGCCGTAAACATTTCAAGTTGCCAGGTATATGCAATCGGTAGGAGGGGATTTGAACAGAAAGGAAGTACTTTCGTTTTTATTTTTCCCTAGGGTGGGGGGATACTGCCATATATGGGCTATATAGGTATGTGCTGCTGTGAAGGGCATGGTTTTCAAGCTATTTACTCTAGGATAGGGTATATAAGTCAGAGTGTTTGGGTCTCGAATAGGGTATCATTTTTCAGGAAACTGATCAGTTGGTTGAAGATTTTATCAAGACTCGGGGAAACAGCCACTCTAGGATAGGGGGGATTTGGGGAGTTTACTCTAGTATAGGGTAGCAAAATTCAGCTGAACTAGCTGTGGTATAGGTTAAGGGTTCCAGGGTCCCAGCGGCACATCTCCACCAGAAATTCCTAAAAGTACCCCTCCCCCCCCGGGTTATTTTCCTTTTGATTGCTATAAGATTAGCTGGGGCTCACGCTCGTAGTAACCAGGGAAAATCCTCCGCCCTCGGCTCTTGGTGACAGCTCTGCTGACATACCAGAATTTTTTTGTAGGTGGTGTCCAGTCCTAGAGAGAGATACCAAACAAATTGCACTGTAAAAGATGATATTATTTGTTTAGGTAAGATCTGTTTTTACTACATATTTGGTCATAACTGACTGCGGGACAGCTCTCAGAATTTTTTCATCTATTCTGACAGTAGTAAAACTTTTTCATTACGTTTATTCATCCTTATGGAGTTAACCAGTAATATTAAATGTATTTGTAGTAAGGTTTTTGATCCTCATTTTTTTCCTATATCCATCTGGTCTAGTGTTTTTTTAACAGTAAGCGAAGGAAAAATGAATGGAGTAAAAGGAAAGAGAAAATAAGTTAAAGGAAAAGAGTTCAAGAAAAGCTGAGATAACCAAGTTTCATTGTTTGTAATGTTCCGTCCTATAACTACAGTCGACTTCCAATAATGATTATTTGAACCCTCACTAACTTGATCCACATGTTAAGTTCAAACCAATATCGATTTCTCCTGGATTTCCCTCATGCATTTACTTCAGTTTTACCCTTGGTAACTCGAACCCTCAATAACTCAAACTTCCTGCCAACTTAAAGTAATTCTTGTTCCCCTCTGGATCATTAATTTCTATATAATTTTACCCTCTATAACTCAAACCATGTTTTAAGTCGTGATAAGTAAAAAATAAACAAATAACACTCTACTGCAGTCCAAAACATTGAATTTGTTTTAAAGCAACCATGTATTTGTCAGTTTACATTTTTGTCAGTCTAGTACAAATACAGTGTCCAATCCTGTATATTAATCAAGAATTGTTGTTGACTCTTTTAAAATGTCAATATATCTCTTGTGCTGCCCTTAAAGTGAAGAGTGCATGGTACTCACATTGCGTTTCTTCCACATCCCCAAGGTTTCCTGTCTTGCCAGTCACCACCACAATATTTATTAATTTAATGTGATTTTTGAAAGGTATTTTTCCCTTATTTCTGGTTATTGGCTACATGTATCACCTGAAGCAACACCCTAAACGTGTACTAAAATTATTATTGAAGAAGTAATTTTAAAAGATACACAAGTTGTGATCTGATCCAATTCTCACATGCCACAAGGAAATGAATGAATATATGGAAAAGTACTAAGTATACACAGCTTTTCTTTTTATGGGTCATGCATTTTGGAAAGAGAACATTGAAGACAGTAAAATTATTGGAATCAAATTGATTTAATGTAGAGGTAACAACAACTGATTTGCATAAAATAGGTCTTAAAATGAAGGAATGACATTTTAAAGAACTTAATTAGCTCAATTTCCCAGGAAAGGCAGTGCCATGTCCCGCACTCCACTACCCCTTGCCCCCAGGAAAGTGCGCCTTTGGTGCATATTTTTTGCCTCACCGGCTATGAATGTTCCATTACATACTGAGCTAAAATTTAGCGAGAACACTGCTGGAACCCCCAGTAACTCAAATTTTTTTCAATTTCCCTTGAAGGTTCAAGTTATTGGGAGTCAACTGTTTGTATAGTATGATGTTATATAACTGCCTTAAATGTGGAACTGTGTTCTGTCCCTTACAATCTTGACAAATTAAAAGTGTGTCTTTAAAATGTCAATGAGGAAGATTGTACAAACTAAGAAGCTTTTTCAGGCTCACCAAAAACAGTTTCAAGTTTGTTTCAGTTTATTCTCCTGTTTTACTCTCACCAGCTATATAACAGAACCCAGATCAAAGAAGGCACACAATGCAAAATGAAATAAGGAATGACCTATAAAAATGTTGTGGAAAGATAGTCTGATAAATCTGAATAATTGTCATTGTTCCCCCTTTCATCAATTAAGGTAATCGTACATTTCCAAAGTTGTTGCTTTGCAACTGGACGTCAGGATATCGATGGTCAACTTCAGTATTGCTAAGGTATAGTATTGACAACATTAGTACAACATTGTTATTTTGTAATTTTTTGTATCAATTTGTTCTTTGCTACTTTGCAGCCATGTGAGTTTCCTATCTATGGTATACTACATATATCTACCGTACGCAACACTTGTCTATATTTCTTTTGTTGTACTAGAAACTTTTTTTTGAAAACAAGGTAGAGAATTAAACTCAATCCCTTACCCTCATGGCTTAGCCAACCCATCAATCGTGACAAATTTTCCCAGCCAGTAGTGCATATGGTATATGTTGTAGTTAATTTTTTATTTTTCTTTTGTTTCAACTTCATTAGCATACATGTACATTACCAAACTCAAAAACGAAAGAAAAACAAAAATTGCCTGAGATGAAAAATAAAGTACAACATATACGTCATGGGCAAACTGGTCAAGTTACTTGAAAGTCATCTTGCTTGAAGTTTTGGCACCCAAACTGCTGAGTTAATTTACATCTTGACACACAGCCACAAAGCCTTAAAGAACGGTTACTAAAAACTGTGTATTTGTCATTCTTCGAGCTCAGGGTGAAGAGGGAATTTGAAGCATGATTATTGACCTTCTCTTAACTTGAATGTAAACCCTTTATAATCTATGACTGCACCAGTATAATTTGTCCCAAGCTCCAAAATGCACTAATAACCTGCTTTTGGGTCAAACAAGCTCCCAATTATTTCAATTTTGTCTTCCTTATCAAAAAAGGAAATTTCCTGAATGTTGGATGACATATCATTTCTAATATCATAGGTGATCTTCCATTTCAGAGGTCAGTTTTGTTTCGATCTGGTCAAAAATCAGGTTTTTAGGTTGTAGGTAATAAAATATTGTCTTATTCTGTTCTCAAGGACCTTCAGAAAACGAGACAAACGAGATAATTGACAAGAGAAAGAAGCGTGAAAATGCCTTTTTGGAAGAAAATATTTTTTAATTCCCGCAGCGATTTTGCAAAATCGCGAAGCGCAATATATTCAGTTTCTTCCAAAGCCGTCATGATTAGACAGTGTAATACCATCACAGCTAAAACTGAATTTAGTTTGTATCGCAAAAGCCGCGAAAATAGAGCTGAAAAAAAATGGATCGGAAAAAATAATAAAATCACCAAGAAACCGTCTCGTGGGAGCTTTGTCAAACAAACTGTTGGTACGGTTTATTTAACCTAACCTGGAAAAGGAGACGTCTGCACGCAGAATAGATTTTATCCTACATGTAGTTGTGATTTCCAGAACGGAACGCGGGAGCCTCATTGCCAAAATATCTTCTACATTACAGAAATCACAGCAGAATCGCCCTGCTCACGTGCTAACTTTCCGCTCCAATATTATGACTAGATACAGTACCAGTGAATTGTTTCAAAATTTGAAGCGGCCGAAACTTATTTCCATCAGCACGTAGTTAGTTAGTTAAGCAATAATAATGCACAGCACTGTAAATAACACGGTTCTAGAATATCTGATGGCTTCGCATTTTGTTCGTCGCTGCATGCGATTTAATCGCTTATAACCTGACAGAAAGTGTAAATGTACCTGAAGGAAATAACGTGTATTACCCTACCTTAACGCTGTGATGTGTGTAAATTTGTCTTTTGCTATGGTTTTAGACAATACGACTTCTCCTGACTATCAATATTATTATTGTACGTCAAAACAAGCGCGATAATGAAATAGTCGAAGTGCCTTGGTGTAGCACTTTATGACAAAGTTTTAACTGGAAAACTTGTTACCATCTGATGTACACCTGTATAGTCTATGTTTGTAAGCTCTGTCTAAAGAATCACTGGGTTACACTGCACCCATGGGTGTGCCACCTAAAGTGCAGCCTATGTTTGTTAGCTCTACCTATTAAAAGAATCACTGGGTTACACTGCACCCATGGGTGTGCCACCTAAAGTGCAGCCTATGTTTGTTAGCTCTACCTAAAGAATCACTGGGTTACACTGCACCCATGGGTGTGCCACCTAAAGTGCAGCCTATGTTTGTTAGCTCTACCTAAAGAATCACTGGGTTACACTGCACCCATGGGTGTGCCACCTAAAGTGCAGCCTATGTTTGTTAGCTCTACCTAAAGAATCACTGGGTTACACTGCACCCATGGGTGTGCCACCTAAAGTGCAGCCTATGTTTGTTAGCTCTACCTAAAGAATCACTGGGTTACACTGCACCCATGGGTGTGCCACCTAAAGTGCAGCCTATGTTTGTTGGCTCTACCTAAAGAATCACTGGGTTACACTGCACCCATGGGTGTGCCACCTAAAGTGCAGCCTACGTTAACTTTGTTAGCTCTACCTAAAGAATCACTGGCTTACACTGTACTCACGGACGTTTGCCTCGCGCTCTCTTCAAAGACAAAAAAGCTATAGTCTGTTTGGCCAAAAATCAAGCTTTGTTTCCCCTAAAAATTTGACACCATATTAGGGCCCCGAAAGACGTTAAAAGTTCCTCCATAATAGAAGAGTGTTTTGCTAGAGTTTACAAACGTTTGGCTCATGAGTTTCAATATAAAGGTGCAAAAACTTATCAGCATAATTATAGCACACAAACATTGTCATCAAACTCCTGGCATGTAGCCTGAATAAGCCAAGCAAATATGAATAAAGCATATAACAAGAAATATTCGTCAAATGGTCTCGTTAAGTAAATTATACTTCACTTTGCGAAAGAAATTTATCGCTTGTATCCGTGTTACGCATCGAAAAAGCGAGGAGTCATCGCATGACATTAGGTAACAGAGGTAATACTCACGAGTTTCACGAATTCCCATTCCACGATTTTTCGCCGAGTAACAAATTTAAAACTTCAATTCTTACCTTACAGTGGTCGGTTCATTTACCTTACATTTGCCAACACTAATAAACATGAACAAAACGATGAAATCCGGCACTCTTCTTTCAGAAGTAGCAAGCCGCATGAAGTAAAATCCACCGATATGCGCTGCATTCTCACTACAAATATAAACATTTGTCGTGAAGAAAATACGACGAGGAGGAAAAAATGCCAGATCTTCGCCTCGGCAATGTATTCCAGCTACGAAGCTGGCGTATCTCCAGAAGGTGGACTCGAAGTGGGACAAACCTTGTGATTTTTGTAGGAGCCCTTTGCGCGCAAACTAATTTATTCTGGCGCGAAATGAAGATTAAGAAAATGTATCTGAAATCTAATACATGACAAGAAAATTTTCGCACTTTCAAGGAGCGCGACATATTAAATGGGATTAAGTCGGATTAGCTGCCCACGGAGAAAACATCCCTGCGTGGGATGGTACTTCCAGTAAAAAACTGCTGTGTCCTCTCATGTTAAAAAGTCACCAAATGTATGAGCTGATTTATTCAATTTTTAAGATGAATTTCAAGGCAAACCAAAGTGCTTGCTTAAGTTTGTCCTTATGGATCATGTCTTGCTTTTAAAAAAAAGCCATGGGCCAATACTGATAGCTTCACTGTTTGAATTGCTTAACGACGTTGTTAAGCATGTTCCGAATTCTCTTCTTCTCTTCTCTCCAATTTCAACCATAGTTAGTAGAGAAGACTAGTTAGGAAACCCGGCAAACATCAAAGTTGAAAGCAATTGTGTTGTAGGTTATGTTGGAAGTTCCCTGACCGTGAACAATCCTCTCTTTTCTGTTCACAAATTATGACTGAAAAATTAATGTAATGTTTTTATTTGTCAGTAACTTCAAAATGATAGGAATGCTTATTTATTACTTGGATTTTTTTTTCAGTTGTATATTGGTACGTGTGCGCACGCAATTCAATTTTGGGCGCATGCATTATTTATTAATTTAAGTTGCGTGTACATTTAGTTCCTTTAATAACGTCTTAGTTTTGCTTTGTGTTACTTTCCTCACTTATATGTGTTGCCCGCGACTGTGCTCACATGGTGGCTCCTGCTAAAATGTTCTGCAATTGGTATAGGATTAATGGAGCCGAAACCAATTGTCGAATTGCATGCATTTTAGGCATCCTACTGATGAACAGTTAGGACACATAGATATATTTTTTAGCAACTACTATAATTAGCAGTCTGTCTACTTTGAATGGAATTGAAGGTTGTGCACGGTGAGGCCCAAAAAAGCTGACAAAAACCTGTAACAAAGGGTTTCCCAACCATTCCACTTTAATTAACTATGTTTCAACTAAACCTTTTTTAATAGTGAGAGGAATATTTTAGCTGACACAGGGCTGTCACTAACATTTTAAGTTGCCAGGTATATGCAATCAGTAGGAGGGGAATTGAACAGAAAGGAAGTACTTTCGTTTTTATTTCCCCCCGGGGGGGGTACTGCCATATATGGGCTATATAGGTATGTGCCGCTGTGAAGGGCATGGTTTTCAAGCTATTTACTCTAGGATAGGGTATATAAGTCAGAGTGTTTGGGTCTAGAATAGGGTATCATTTTTCAGGAAACTGATCAGTTGGTTGAAGATTTTATCAAGACTGGGGAAACAGCCACTCTAGGATAGGGGGGATTTGGGGAGTTTACTCTAGTATAGGGTAGCAAAATTCAGCTGAACTAGCTCTGGTATAGGTTAAGGGTTCCAGGGTCCCAGCGGCACATCCCCACCCAGAAATTCCTAAAGTACTCCCCCGGGTTATTTTCCTTTTGTTTCCTATAAGAGTAATTGGGGCTCACACTCATAATAACCAGGGAAGATCCCCCCCCTTGGCTCTTGGTGACAGCCCTGCTGACATACCAGAATTTTTTTGTAGGTGGTGTCCAGTCCTAGAGAGAGATACCAAACAAATTGCACTGTAAAAGATGATATTATTTGTTTAGGTAAGATCTGTTTTTACGACATATTTGGTCATAACTGACTGCGGGACAGCTCTCAGAATTTTTTCATCTANTCTAGTATAGGGTAGCAAAATTCAGCTGAACTAGCTCTGGTATAGGTTAAGGGTTCCAGGGTCCCAGCGGCACATCCCCACCCAGAAATTCCTAAAGTACTCCCCCGGGTTATTTTCCTTTTGTTTCCTATAAGAGTAATTGGGGCTCACACTCATAATAACCAGGGAAGATCCCCCCCCTTGGCTCTTGGTGACAGCCCTGCTGACATACCAGAATTTTTTTGTAGGTGGTGTCCAGTCCTAGAGAGAGATACCAAACAAATTGCACTGTAAAAGATGATATTATTTGTTTAGGTAAGATCTGTTTTTACGACATATTTGGTCATAACTGACTGCGGGACAGCTCTCAGAATTTTTTCATCTATTCTGACAGTAATTAATGTTTTTTATTATGTTTATTCATCCCTATGGAGTTAACCAGTAATATAAATGTATTTGTAGTAAGGTTTTTGATCCTCATTTTTCTCTATTTCCATCTGGTCTAGTGTTTTTTTAACAGTAAGGGAAGGAAAAATGAATGGAGTAAAAGGAAAAAGAAAATAAGCTAAAGGAAAAGAAATCAATTAGTGCAAAAAGTCTTATTTTGCCTTTCCTATCAAAGCTGAGATAACCAAGTTTCATCGGTGTGCAAAGAAAGTAGTGTCTGATAGCCCGGGGCTAGTGGATTTTGCTATTGGGCAAGTGAAATCTGTTTTTCACTTGCCCAATGGCAAGTGATGTTTTTTGAGGAATTCAAATAACAGAAGAACTGTGAAATCAATTCTGCTAGTCAAAAAGTTTTTGGGGCTAGTTTATGGGCCATGCATTTTGGAAAGAGAACATTGAAGACAGTAAAATTATTGGAATCAAATTGATTCAAATTGTTGTGTAAAGTTAACAACGACTGATTTGCGTAAAATAGGTCTTAAAATGAAGGAATGACGTTTTAATTATAAAGAACTTAATAATAGCTTAATTTCCCAGCAAGGGTGGGGCCATGTCCTGCACTCCACTACTCCTTTGCCCCCAGGAAAGTGCACCTTTGGTGCATATTTTTTTCCTTACTGGCTATGAATGTTCCCTTACATGCTGAGCTAAAATTTAGGGAGAACACTGCTGGAACCCTCAGTAACTCGAAATTTTTCAATTTCCCTTGAAGGTTCGAGTTATCGCGAGTCGATTGTATGTATTGTGTGAGGTTAAATAACTGCTTTATATGTGGAACTGCATTCTGTCCCTTACAATCTTGACAAACTAAAAGTGTGTCTTTAAAATGTCAATGAGGAAGATTGTACAAACTAAGAAGCTTTTTCAGGCTTACCAAAAATGGTTTCAAGTTTGTTTCAGTTTATTCTCCAGTTCTACTCTCACCAGCTATGTAACAGAACCCAGATCAAAGAAGGCACACAATGCAAAATGAAATAAGGGATGACCTCTAAAAATGTTCTGGAAAGATAGTCTGATAAATTAGAATAATTTTTCATTGTTCCTCCTTTCATCAATTAAGGTAATCGTACATTTCCAAAGTTGTTGCTTTGCAACTGGACGTCAGGATATCGATGGTCAACTTCAGTATTGCTGAGGTATAGTATTGGCAACATTGGTACTGAACAACATTGTTATTTTGTAACTTTTGTATCTATTTGTTCTTTGCTACTTTGCAGCCATGTGGGTTTCTTATCTATGGTATACATAAATCTACTGTACATAACACTTGACTATAATTCTTTTGTTGTACTAGAAACTTTCTTTTTTTGAAAACAAGGTAGAGAATTAAACTCAATCCCTTATCCTGTGGCTTAGCCAAGCCATCAATCATGTCAAATTTTCCCAGCCAGTAGCTCATATGGAATACATCATGGGCAAACTGGTCAAGTTACCTGAAATTCATCTTGCCTGAAGTTTTAGCACCCAAACTGCTGAGTTAATTTATAACTAGACACACAGCCACAAAGGCTTAAAGCACAGTCCCTAAAAACTTTGTATGAAAATTGACTTTCTAGTAACTTGAATGTAAACCCTTTAACTTTATGATTATAATCAGTGTATAATAATTTGTGCCGCATCCCAAAATACACTAATAACCTTCCTTTGAGTCAAACAAGCTCCCAATTATTTCATTTTTGTCTTCCTTATCAAAAAAGGAAATTTCCTCAATGTTGGATGACATATGATTTTATTTTCTTAGTTGTGCATATACATTAAAGAAAGAAACTAGGTTTATTTTGTTACCACTCAATGAAAGGTAGATGGAAGACAATGTCTTGTTTTTTATTACATTTTATAGGCTTTTTTGAAAAATACCATAATACTCTTTGTTGTCCCTCCAAAATTTTGCATAAGCTTTGTTTTCAATTTCTCTTAAGACTTACAATTGCCCCAAGAAAAATTGAATACAATGCTTATGGAAAATTTTAGAGGGACAACAAAGAGTATTATGGTGTTTTTGAAAAAGGCCAATAATTACAAATTAAACACTAAAGTAACATCTAAATGTTTAACAGTCAGATCATGGGAGTTTAACACATAACATGTAGGTTCGCTATCTGCAGTGTCTATCACTTTACTCCCAATATAAACCGGTTCCTAGGTGACTGACTGTATATGCCCAACCAGGCTACAGGAAGTAGCAATACGGGCAGATACAGAGCATATAATGTCAAAGAAAAATTGAATCATAAATAAGTTTACACAGGAGCCCATAACGCGGAGCGAGCAACTCCCATCATTGGACAGGTTTAGCATGTTTAGGAATTTTTTTTTTTAATTATATCATTTTCCGATGATATTATTATTCAGATGCAGATAGAAATCCACATGTAAGATCAATTTTTCATCGTTCACTTTTTCCTTTTTTATTTTTACACGTGTTATTAAAGCATTATCTTCTTTTAAATTGTACATTTGTAACGTCTTAGCTTGATCTAGTCTTTTGTATTGTTCTCTATATATTTCCTTAAAGAATGAGTTGAGAGAATTTGATAAAAGATCAAAGGATTTTCTCTTAGGTGGTCGTTTTAATAATTCCCATAACCTAATATCTTGACAGTGTAGGGAGATCGTTAGGAGAAAATTGATGTTAGTCACTATTGTGACTTACAAGGTTAAGACCCTGAAGAAGAAAGGCCGTGCCTTTTGAAATATTCGTATAACAAAAAATACATGTATATTCTTGACTGTAAAATCAGACTTACTTCTTTCCGTTGTTCAGATTGTTTAATGCAGTAATTCTGGTTTTGACAGAGATCTTTGTAATAAGATAGGAACATTGTTTCTTTCCCCTTTGGCTGTTCAAAAACAGTAAGATAAAAGAGTGAATCACAAGTAACTTGATGCTGCTTTGCAATATTTTTCACACTTATACGGTTATTTAAAAAATTAGAGCTGTATTATCCTTGCTTAAGCTATATATGCTGATTAAAATGAGTAAAATTTCACTGTTTTTTTTTTACGTTTCAGCTTAACCTTAGGTGGTTTTGGCGTGGACCGATTTTACCTGGGGCACTGGAGAGAGGGCCTTGGTAAACTCTTCAGCTTTGGAGGCCTGGGAGTATGGACCCTTGTGGACCTGATTCTTGTTATTATTGGATACGTCGGACCAGCAGATGGCTCACTCTACATATTCTAGACATGTTCGCTGAACTCTTTCTAGTGATATTATTTCATTCCTGTTAGGAATGCAGGGTGATTCCTTATGGAGAGACGGGTCCAGAAGTTAGCTGATGCTGATAGGACTTCCTTCGCCACGCCTCCAAAATGTCCTTTAATGAGAGGGCTAAACTGAAAAGTGTAACGCCGCAAATCCTAGCAACGCTACAAAAAATGAAAACATGAAAAACCAAAAACAAAACGAGAAAAGGAAGATAAGGAAAAGCCGCAAAACAAGGAAGATGACCAGAGGCGGATCCATGGGAGGGCCCCCCCCCCCTTATTTTTGGACCAAACTGAGACCCGAAGGGCCGAACAACATTTGTTGAGACCGGGCACCCCCCTTATCTCAGGGTCTGGATGACCGCCCTCCCTGAAGGTCTGGATCCGCTACTGATGACTGACAGGACTTCGAACAATCAATTTGTTGTTTCGCCGATACGGACGCCCGCTGTGTACTCACGTTTTAGCAAATTTTGCATGAAAACAAAGCTATCGATGTAAAAATTAACACCTGTACACGGAGATCGCCGTTATTTTCTGTCTTTATTTAGGTTTCTTGCTTGGGGTGGTTTTTAATGTGTTTTTGTGTGTGTGTGTCGGTTTTATATACGAAAGAGATTAGAAAAAAGGGGGAAACCTACATAATCTTGTTTTCTCCGTGTATAAATTTTGAGGCCTGTGTTAATGAAAGGATGATGAATAGCCACCTTCTCTACCCGTGACTCGTCCCCACTCGTCTCTTATTATTAGTAATCGGCGTGGAAGACTAGAACGGGCTCTTTAACAAAGCTGATGACGGGAAGGAATAACCCAAGCGCTTCCCTAGTAAATAATTAATGAGTAGAGAGAACTTAGAGACGACTGGGGACGAGTCAGTCTCTACCCCCTGAATTTCAGGAGCTAGGGTTCGCCTACATTTGACAAAGTAAGTGGGTAGGAATAATCGCGATAGAGACTGAAAGAACGCTTATTGCTTCGGCGGAGCGCGAAGTAAAGGACTCGCGACGCTCAGGAATGTCCCAAAGTTGCTTTTTTGGGGACAAGATTGGGCATGCAAAGTCTGTAGGTTTTCGGCTTTATATTCGGCTATTAGACGAAGTGAGAGCCGATTTAGTTTGAGATGTCGCGAGATCAATTCGATTTCTTTGTTATTCGAGGAAGAAACAATTATTTTTGTGGCTTGACGAGGCTTGCCCGGGGTTTGATCCGACTCACCTGTGTAACCCATCAGATCAGATGAGGTCCTAAGTTGCGGGATTGGCCGATTGCGCCACTTCGATCCAAGGTAACTTGAAATGTGAAAAATAGCTATGAGTTAATGCACAAGGTACGGGATAAGTTGGTGACTTTTCGGCTTTTTCTTATTTATTATTCTGGCTAGAAATATTGACTGCGAAAGCTTGCAGAAAACATTGAATCAATTTGGGCTAGTAACTTCAAAATATGAGCGAAAAACCGAGTTTCGCGAGGGTTATTGCGAGATACGTATTTCTAGTTTATGTTGCGATGTTGTAGATGAATCATCCTCTGTGTCCAGATTGTGCATTATCAGCAAGTTTTGTAAGGGAGTGTACTGATGTTAGTTTATAGTTACGTTGCTGGAGAAGGTGTGGAGTTAACTGAACATTAGGAAAGTGTTGTTGTACAGAAAAATAAAGGAAGTGGAACTGAGATCTCGCCGTGCGCAATTAGTTATGACAGAAATTACAATCGAATTGGTTTACACCCATGCACCTAGCAGACTTCCGGTGAAGACGTTAAGACGTCTGTTTACACAAAAGAAGAAAAGTAAGGGTACTGGTATGGAAGGGGGTCTGGAAAAATATCATTTTTACTATTCCTCCGCATTTTCTTCACAATTAATAAACAACCACGACGCCGAAGTGCACGCTCCCATAGCGTCTTGTTCACTTATTTTAGCGACCTTCTCGTTGGCGCCGCGTCGTTGGATCTTAAAGTCCCTATTTTGGCCGGAAAATGCGATTACCGACGCCATTTTACTACGGGTTTTAGCGGTTGCAGCGAGAATGTCCTTGTGGCGGAAACAAGTTATCAAATGCTGAAGTTTTATCATTTTGCGATCGGGAGAGGGCGTAACTGGTTAAAAAAAAAAGGGTACGTGCCATAAGTCAGAACTGGCTGGTCGGACCGGTCCAATAAACTGAAATGACACTTCACAATTTCCTTTCCATGAACTCCAGTTTATAATCACCGCAGAGGTTTCTAAACGACAATAACTGGAACGGTAAATGAGCTATACAGATAAATGTTCTATACACCGAATAATAATCTGTGTATAAATACAAATACAAAGAAAGGTACGCTGAAGAAATAATTAAACTGTGAATGAATAAACTTAAAGTAATCAAAATCATACAGTTGACGTTGAAGATATATCCGACATTGATAACGATACATAAACTAGGCGTCGAATGACGGTCACAAGCGTTAAACTTAAAGGTGGGAGCGAAGGTCTGCAAAAGTAACCGCTGCTCCAAATCAGTCGCATGACAACATATTAAAAATTAAAATCTTCTTCCAAGTGGTCATAGTTTCATTGTTGTTCTTTGAGTTAATGGCTTGATGATCGATTATCGAATGTGAAATATCAATGAATGACTGGATCTTAGCTAAACTTTTACCCTGTGAGCAGAGGGTTATCTAGGAAGATCGAAGGGCCTCTGCTCGCAGGCCAGTACTAAACTTTGGGACACGCGGTTATTATAGATAACAAAAAATAATGTGGTCGAGTCATTTTTAAATGGAAAATGCGTCAATAATATAACATATTTCATACCTATAAGCAAACTATTGGAGTGTAAGGGAGATTTTTTTTATGTTATCTACACTCATGATCCTCAACAATGCCATGTCATGTGAGCTTGTAGAGCTCATGACGGCAGGGCATCCATTAATAAAAGTTAACCTTTGCGATATGGGATAGCTTGCTCCACTCCTCCCTTATCTAACCCTTGTACAGAGCCTTAGCTAGCGAGGGGGGGGGGGGGGGGGGAGTTTGGGACCCCTCGACTGTCGCTCTATGGTTCGAAGTCGTAGTGTTGAGTGTGGCAGGCCGAGGACGAGGGAGTATAAATAAAAAAAAAATGTGTGTGTGTTGGAGCCCGCGCCCCCCCCCCCCCCCTCCTCTACGTGACCTCCGGGGGGGGGGGGGGGGGGGGGGGGGGGGGGGGGGGGGGGCAAGTTTGGCAGCTGCCCCCCCTGGACCTGTTGAGCCAGACAAATCAAGTCTCTGGATGGATTTGTTTTCTTTAGACTCGGTTATTTTGATTATAGTCGGACTTGCAATTGTTTGCCATTTTCATATTCGAGGTCGATTTTACGGAGACGTATCTCATGACAAGTGCCGAAAGTAGCATTTTGGAACCTCCAAATTTGAAAATTTTCTGGGGGAGACCAGACCCCAGACGGGTCTAAGTCCTTGGCAATTGTGGATATTTCCTAAAATTGCAAAACGCAACAAAATGCCACTTTAACCGGCCACGAAAGACAAGGATACGTTCAGTTAAAGGTATCTTAGTTTCGTTTGGTTATATTTTGACTTTTGGACTATTTTAGTTCATGGGAGTTTCGACGACTCGTCCTATTTAGTCCGTGTGAATATATATCAATATATTCATTCAGTGACACATACTACGTCTGGGTCGCCTGTGGTGAAACGAAACCGACATATCAGACATATTGCAAATTATGCTAACATACTTTTTCTTGAATTATTATAATGATCATTAAATTCTATATCAATTCTATAACCAAGTGACGCTGCACTTCTCAACAAACCCTTGTGGGCTTTAACTAGGAGAGCCCCTAAAGAAACCTTGTCGTCTTGACTTGTAACATGCATGTCCGCCCTCCCGTAGATCGATTCCCTTTTAGCCCGCCCCAATTATGCCGAAGTATTCGCAGAATGCATCTTGTCTGCGCTACAGAAGTCATGCGAAACAGCTGTTGTTCCCAGTGTGAGGTAGCTCTTGGTTCGCGTTTGGTTTCAAGCTTTTCATATGTAACCCGCCGACATCAAAATGGCGGCAGGTAAAACTAAAAGGAATCTTGATGAAATCGACGATATAGGGGAGATGTTTGAAGTGATGAAGGCGCTTGATATTTCCTCCAAAGGGTTAAAGTCATTGGAAGATATGAAGGAACGCGTTAAAACTATAATAGGGGAGGCTTCAAAACCAACCAGCTGGAATGCAGGACAGGTAAAAATGACTGCTTTCTAAATAAAAAGTTGATATTGTTTTTGCCATTCTGCATGTGCAAGTTGCACATGTCCTGACATGTTACTATTCGAAATGGAGCGACATAGCTTTGCAGCATTCTCCCGCATTTTCCGTTCTTATACTAGCTGCCCAATTACAGTTTATAAATGCATGAAGACAGAAATTGATTCGATTTGCTTCAGCTGTTCAGAATCTGTTTCTGCTGTTTTCGAGCGGGATTTTAGCGAAGAACAAGATCAATGCAGAACTACGAAAAAAGGGAAATGATTAATCAGTTTTTTTCAACCGTGGGCTATGAATCCTGATATTGCTGTTTGGCATCAAATCTGTAAATGTGTATAGCTGTGTCCTAATTTGCATCCATAAAGGCTCCATTTCACTTAACAGTTAATTTCATCTATCTTTAGAAATATGAAATCGCCTGTCCCATTTCTGCTGCGTTATTTATTACTTTTAGTTGAGAAAACTCTATTGTATTTAAGATCAAAAATTCAAAAATTTAAGATCAAAAATTCCTTTTAAACAGCGAGCGCTCACGTTTAAGAGTTACCTGAAACATAATTCTAATGCGACAGTCGTCTTCTACTGATCCATGAAACATCACGATAAGCTCTCCTCTGTCGGCGCAGATGTATTGCACCATGAATGTATTGGTCGGGACAGGAACGAAAGGTTCAACCAAGTTCCAAAATTATACCTTGGGTATTGATAACTATAAGCCACTTCCCTTCTGAGA